TATATTAGAGGATTAAAAAAAATTGTAAATAATTAATTGTAAAATTAAAAATTTCTACAATTTATTGGACTAATTATGAAACCACATTGTAAAAATTTCAATTTATTAAAATTATCTTTGGTACGAAGATGTTCATAATTTTTTGGTACAACTTTATAATTAATAAACTTACGATGATATTTACTTTGAATTATCAACTTATAATTGCAATAATGAAAGATATGTTCAAAATGGACAATAGCACCAAAAATTTTTGTGAAATTTCAATGGAATAGAAACAGATAATATTAATAATTACACTTCTTGATGTGCACATATTTGGAAAACAATCAAAAATTAAAAAGTTTATTTTGAACGATCCATTAATTATTACAAATAAAGCTTTTAATTGCACACGTTTTCCCCATTTTAATATACTTAATAATGTTTATATTATTACATTACAATAAAATTTTACTATTATCAGAATTTCTCTACGATTATAATCTCAGTCGTTTCACGGTGTAATTTTTAGTTTTTAGGTTATACCCTCTTATTTGCATATGCGTGAGCAATCTTATATAACTAGTGACACCATTGGTGTAATTGTTTGATTTGAATTATCGACTGTCACAACTTTCGGCGCCATCATCGAGATAGAATGAACTAGAGGCGACATAAATATTATTTTGCAATGTGACAGATGGACGCACTTTGAGTGATAGAAAAGTGGAATCGAAATGGTGACTTAGAATCGTACGTTAATTTGAAGTCAATAATTTTAAATTTGAAGATTTATTGAATTAAATTGTTTTATAATTTAAATGAAGCTATTTAAAAAAAAGTGATTTATTCTTACCAAAACTGACTAGCTCTAGCTCGAGTTTGACACATGACATAAAAGTGTAATGCAAAGATGCGGACACTTTTAGTATCATCATAGCATATTTTCTCTATCTCAGTTTGGCGCCAGCTTGTACAGCAACGCCATCTTAATTTCATACATTTCGAGGGAAACTTTTTGTAACCGGAGATAGTTCTCCTTACCTCTACACTCTATATTTGAAATGTACAGTAAAATATTTTGGATGTCATAAAGATAATAACTAAACGTTGCATTTCATTTTTGACATTTAACCTTAAAATATTTTGGTAACATCTTGACCAAAGAATTCATTTACGTTTATTAACTCAAAGTTACTAAAAACAATTGAAACTTTCATTGCAATTGGGGTAATAAAAACACTATAAATATGACTTTGCCAACTTAAAAAAAATTAAGTCAATCAAAAATATTAACCTTTATATGACCCACTAGTAAAGGATCGGTATATTATGTACGCCAATAACAAATATTTTTCCATGCTTATTAATCCTTGCTTCTTTATTTTAATCGAGTATTTTTAGAAATAATTACACCTGTAATTGTTCAAGTAATTATACACGCAAATTGTTAGCAGCTGGCATTTTTTCAAGAAATTTGCATATCTAATTGCCATAACAATTTTTCTTCGTGATACATAAATTACTTGTTTTTCTTTTCAGATTATATACAGGTATAATTCATAGGTACGGTTACTATAAATTTTATTCTATAGAAGTAATAAAAATGTGAATTGTAAAATTTCTTTTTTAACAATTTTTTACGTATTTCTATTCCATCGAAATATGATATTGTATATCTTTGTATGTATGGCAAGGATGTCCATATCATCCGATAAACATAACTGTCTCCACCACTAAGTAAAAAACATATTAATTTGGCTCCCTTTTTATTTCACTTTAATTTATAACGATTTGAGCATAATATTTCTAATCTTCGCATACAACATTTAATAGCAAATTGCAGAAAAAAAAAAGAAAAAGCACCAAACATTTAAATGTACATAATATTATTTTGAATGTGTCATAAACGTCGTTTTTCGGAATAATTTGAATTGAAACATTTTTAATTGAATAATAGAAAAACTAAATAAACTATAATTATCAAGAATATACCCTACCAAATAATATCATTTTGGATTTAATTTTCTATACATAATTTTTTAAATATTTATAAGTACATTCGAATAAAAAAAAATATGAAACACGGACGAAAAATGAAGGAGTCCGTCTTCTCGTAGTCCTCCGAAAAACTCAACTTTTCGTCCTTATGACATACACTAATACTACGGTTGTTTTAGTTTTCAACCTTGTAAAACAATATAAATAAAGACATCGAGAGTAAGTCGTTAAATCTATTAGAAACAATTCATACCGTTTCTTCGTATCAGTATAAACCAACGAAAATCTTGTACAAAAAACATACGCTGATTTCTTCACATGTTAAGTATTATTTTGGCCAAAATCCAATTTTTATTGACACTTAATCAAAAGAAATTAATCGGTTTTATAGTCATCCAAAAAGAAATGATATCGCGCACACACTCTTGTGGGGCATTGTAACCTTGTTTCTACACCATTCCATTCATTTCTATTTTGATCGCTCTTAATATATGTTTAAATATACCATCACGTAACGTAATAAACATGCCGTCTTATAATAGTAACATAACAATGAAAGAAAGTTACATTCGGAACATGTCCAGGTGCCGGTGCCAAACATTTCGGCGACCGACGCCGAATTTTGAGGTTTGCATTATTTATTTGTCATTTTTTATTAGCTATTCAAATTTAATTAGAATATTTCAATCTATATTAAATTTGGAAGAATGAATAAAAAAAACGGAAATATGTCTGCGGGATGGCTAATGAGTTCATTAAGACGGTAATTAGGCCGACAGTAACCACAGCTTGTGAGACATGGAGTAAAGTTGTATGAAGAACCTATGATAACCAAAATAGTGAAATCTCAAAGAATAAGGTAGCTGGGACATATCTGGAAAAAGAGTAATGAAATGATAGTGAAGAAGGCGTTGGACAGGAATGTTCTAAACAAGACCATTAGTAAGTAGGGAACAAGAAGTAGAAGAACATTTAAAGACATTGAAAATAAGAAACCTAATAGTAGAAGACCTCAGGAAAACTTAAGAAATCGAAGTTAAAGAAATCTAATGTCCACAAAATTTAGACCCCTATATTTCATCTTAACAGACCCAGCAATAACCCTGGAATATCTTAACAAAAACGTCAGGGTTATTGAAAATACCCGAGTAACCTGGGAACTTAGAAAAGCAGTTAAAACAATAATTCAGTGCCACAGGTGCCAAGCGTGGGGACACGCGACAGCAAATTGTGGCCGTCCCCCGAAGTGCCTGAAGTGCGCAGGGGACCACCTGTGTAAAAACTAGGGAAACACCCGCTACACCCGCTTGACCCGCTACATGCGCTAACTGCCACGGGGACCACCCAGCAAACTACACAAAGTGCGAGGCATACTTGGAAAGGGCCTCGAGGCTTGAAGAAAGAAGACTTTCGCGAAAAAATACGTGCAAGCTCCTCAACTCTCTAGAAGTGGAGATAAGAACAGAAACCCTATGAGCTTTGAACTTCAAGATTTCCCATCCCTACCCAACACTAGTAAAGCACAAATACAACCTCAGCCACAAATCAGAAAAAACGAAACAAAAGGGAGGAACGGACGATCTCTTCTCCCTAAATGTTGAATTCGAGGAACTTAATTCATTGGTAAATATAGCCGCCCTTATCCGAGCTGTCCGAGAACTAAATTCCTCTCTCCGAAAATGTACCTCTACCCCACAGTATTTTATGACATTTAACAATTTCATGACTAACTTAAGGTACGTTTACATCTGACATTTATTGCATGATATTTAAATTGTCACACTGTATTATTTGTCGATTCTTGAATCACTCATTTTTAATTAAAATTTACCCTAATATATAAAAATATACTGACATTTAGTTTAACATACTTGTCAACAGTTGCGGTTGGTGAGAATTTAAAAAGGATGTTCACAATTTTTAATTTGATATTGACGGTATAATTCATTGAAAACAAAAAAGGGATCTTTATAGCGAACGAATACAAACAAGGAAGACAACAATATAAATTTTACACGTCAACACTGCTGCACGCCTACAAAGTACTAGATTGTGCTTCGATAATATACTACATCTATTACAATTGTAAATTGTACTAGACTGGCAACATTGATTTGACAATGTTCGTATGTCCACCCTATTTTGTGACGTCACGCCTTGTTGATGTGCGATGCACAAAATAACGTGATTTAAGTGATGTTGACCTCTCTTTTTAGCTACAGGATTTTGCAAAAAAACCTCTCGCTCTCACACAGATGCGGTTGGCCAGCGCAGTGACGTGTCAAAAAATAAAGATAAACACGTATAAAAACAATAAAATTATTAAAATTGAATTTATATTTTTATGTTATTTATTTTAATATGTGTTTTAATGAAATGTAATTGTTGTGTTCACTGCACAAATAAAACAATGGAGAGTAAAACCGCCCCTGCTTGTCAATAATTTAAAATTAAAAAAAAAGAATAGTCCGCGGGATACTAAATAATTTTAACTCTGATTGTTGGATTTCATGTCTTAGTAGAATGGATATGAACTTATATCCATTCAGTAGATTGATATCGCTGACTTATTTGTTCTGTAGTTTGTGCACAAAGTGGATGTATAAAATAGTATATTGTATAACTGACAGGAAATGGTATTCATTTTTTGCTAGTTGAACAGTATACTTTTTCTACGGCTATAACACTACGCCCATTTTTAGTTTCTAAATAATTATTAAATATATATCATCTCATGGAATGTATGATTTTATTAAAATAATTACGGAATAACTGATACATAATTATACAAACTTTTTTATATTTAAAATAATATTAAAGTAATTTTATAAATTAAATTAATCTTAAAGCAATATTACTGAAGTTTTTATTAAAGTCCAAAAAATGAGGAATTGCTAATTCATTTTCGCTACTGCTCCATCGAAAAATATGGCTCTTCAAACTTAATATTTTTTTCTATTAAACAAAATAATTTGCGGTTTTAAACATTTTTTATATTTTTATTTTTATTGTTACAGATACGACAATTCCAAATGATACCTCAGCTGCAGTAAATACATCATCACCTGTAAATAAACGACGAGGATTCAGTGGGTAAGCATGCTTTTCTTTTTTAGTTATTGTACCAATTTTCTTTAACTTCAGTAAATGATTACGTATTATGTTATGTTGGGAATGGGGTGTTAATACACTGGGACCTAAAAGATCTATTGTGCCCCCTTCTGTCGCCAATACACCAAGGAAATGTCTCAATGCCTATAATGACCATTCCAATCCTATTTTCTCAAGAAAGTGTAGGATTTGAAGTGGCTTCAAGTTAGGTAAATCTCCCTCTTCTATTTAATATCCTCCTAGATATAGTGCCCTTGGATTCTGGAGAGCTACACATTCAGTTAGGATGTGAATGAAGGTTTCGTCCTCCGCCTCACAGAATCTGCATTCACTTTCCTCTACTTTGGTGTCCTTTTAGTCGGCAAGGCCCGGTAAGGATCCCTGTTATAATACGTAGCCTGTTCTTGCTCAGGCAGATGCAGGCTTCCGATCTTTTCTGGTTATATTCACCCAGAAGTATCTTGGCCTGTTTTAGCCCCAAGAGATTGTTCCAATTATCGATTCTTCTACTGCCCAATTCTTTTTTCTCTCCTAATATTATGTTACTGCTGATACCGCAGAACGGCTGAGGTCCTACAAAGGGTGTTTGAGCCCCTTTCCGTGCAAGACTATCTGCAATCTCGTTACCCTGTATCGCGTTATGTCCCGGGACCCAAGTGAGAGTAACTCTATTTTTCTCGTCTAGCTCATTCAATTGTTCTTAGCATCTCCAGACCATTTTTGAGCTGATTACGTAAGAGCTCAGCGCTTTGATGGCTGCTTGACTATCGGACATGATGATAATCTCTTGTCTATGATAGTTTTTCTCGATGTTGAACTGGATACACTTCTCGATGGCGTGAATTTCCGCCTGGAAGATGCTTGAGTATTTTCCCAAGCTTTCGGAGTGCTTGGTTCTCGGCCTATACACTCCTATTCAAGTTCCTTCGATGGTTTTGGAACAACCCGTATACCACTGAATAGCACGTCTTTCGGTTGTAAGCGCGATGAATTCTTGGATCCATTCTTTCTTGCTTTGTGGTTTTGAAGTTTTTCACAAAACTGTACTTCTTTAGCATTTCATCCTAGGGCATGTCCCAGGTATCTTTTGTGCTGAAGCAAGTAGACTGATTACTCCGTTCCTGATCATTCTATATCGTGTCCTTTTTGCCACATTCTCTATCATCAAATGTAGAAGGATGAGGTTTAAGATCACCTCCATTGCGGCCGTAGGACAGGTTCTCATTGCTAACACAGGCTAGTCTTTGTACTTTTGAGATATTAGCTCTCGTAGTAGCTAAACTAGTTCTGTTACTCCAGGCTATAGCCCTGTAAGTGATGATTGGTCTCACTATTGCAGTATACATCCATCGCAGTATGTTTGGCTCACATCCCCATCGTTTGCCTGTAATGTTTCTGCATACCATTTGGGCTTTTGTGTATTCCAGAGAAGTTTATTGTCCAGGGTTAGGCCTAGATATTTGACTTCATTTTTCCATTCTATATCTATCCCGTCTAATTTAACGGTTTTGAGATTAAGTCTTTTCCTTGAAAAAGCTTCCAGTGTTGTTTTTGTAGGGTTTATACTAAGTCCTACTTCACGGCACCATCTTTTGGTATGTTCTAGTCCTCGTTGGACTATATCACACAGGATATTACTAAACTTGCCTCTAACAAATATGACTATGTCGTCGGCATAACCTTGAAAGGGTATGCCGAGGTCAGTCAATCTGCATAAAAGTTCATCTACGGTTAGGCTCCACGTATACTTTACTGTATTTAGCTGTACTTGCTGCAGCTTTTCTTGGTTCGAGGCTGAGACACGTCAGCCTCTTCGGTAGCCCAATCGGTAGAGTGGCCGTGTATTCAATGACTGACCTTTAATAGAAAGCAACACGCTCATTCGAACTACAGATCAGATAATCTAATTTTTGAAATTTATTTATGGTTACAGTGGCAATGATGTAATAACTAGTTGTAATATAATTAAAGAATTACCCTAAAGTTTTTGGAAAATTATTAAATGCTAACAATAGGGTTCAAAAATGACAAGCATTTTTTAATATATACTTCAGTTACTCTATGATCCACCTTGTATAAATAATATATAATTAACGTAACAACTATATTTTCTGGCTAATTGGTTCCTACCACAGCCATTCAACTAATTAAAAAAAAAACTATATTTTATTATTCTTTCAGTACAATGCATCATCAAATTTAAAAATCTTACACAAATCTGAAGCTGAATTCCAAGAAAAACATATTTTGCACACCTGCAACTTATTTACTAGCATTTTAAGCGCCTAAAATATAGCATTCTCACTCATACGAGTGCTACCTCTCTCGTACTCGTAAATCTATCCTAGTCGCGCTAACATGAGCATAGTTAAAATAAATTGTTGCAAGCACATATGTACAACAACAAACACGCTAGCTTTATGTGTGTTAATCAGGCATAACTATTTCACCACGTTCCCTCAACCAATCTTAAAACAGTATCTACTCTCTTGGTCCGTTTTCCTCAACCAATCACGATAAGACACAAAGGTTATTCTTTCCACAATTCACACTCGACGACAAACGACAAAAAAATGAAAATTACTCCAATTTCCAATACAGCAACATCTTTGCTTTATTTCTTTACGTGCTCGTCGCTTTTATTAAATAAGAGATGTTTCTAACCTATTTATTATCCGTCATAAAGTTCTAAGCACTTATATATTATTTCACTATGTAAAGTTATGTAATTTGAAGCAAAGTTTATATTGTTGAATAAACTCGTTAGCTGAAGTGATCATTTTAATTTTAATGTTCCTAATAAGTGTCTGGCAATTCATCAATAAAAATCATACATTCTATAAGCTACAAGTCTTACTATCGTCCATCTGACAAAAAGGGACCCTATTTCTATGACGAAGATTATAAGAAAAAGAAATAAACGACGCATGAAAACAAATAGTTTTAATTTTTTACATTTTTAAACTTAATATTACAATAAATTAATAATAGAAGTAACAATAAATAATTAATAACTTTATCTTCAATAAACTCCAATTTGTGCGACGTCGTAATTGGTCTTCATTTGCAGCTTCCTATCCCTTGTCGTATACTTTTCTGCTCAATATTAACCCACAATCTTCTAGTGATCGAGCTTGCGCTATTTTGGGAGGATTTTCTAATTTAGGGACTGTTAAGAATACCAAATATCAAAAATGCGGAAATGACTAGACCGCTCCTGTAACATTTACTTAAGTATCATTCTGAACAAGATTGGCAAAGTCAATAAAGTAAAAACAACTAGCGCGGTTGTTATCCAATACGCATTTGAAATCAATAATAAAGACTGGACAAAGAAAATCTGTTGGTAATATGTATGCGGAAAAATGATTGCGCGAGCTGTAATGGTTTGGAATCACGCCGACGATAGAAGTCGGATGATTGAAAATCACAGTTACCTAGTATTCGAATCATATCATTCGAATGATTTATTATATTCCATTATCATCAATGAACAATGATTGGGCAGTGAAAGGTCAACGTGTCACAAGATACTATATTGACAGTTAACTATCCAATCAGAATGCATTACACCAAAGTCTAAAATGTCATACGTCAATATTTATTTTTATATATCATGCAGGCGTTTTGGCTTACGGCGCCGGCGTGCGGCGAACTGATTGGAGTGACTGGGTGATTCCCCGACTTGACAGAGATCTATCCAATCAGGTCGCGGTATGCTAAAAGCCAAGACGCAAAAAAGTTGTATGTGTATCCTAATTAAGAGAAATAAAAGAGAAATAAGTAATTTTGACGGCTCCATATTTGAACAAGTCACCTGGGGACATATTTTCAATCTTGAGAGAAAATATTTCTCTCAAGATTTGTATGAGAAATATCATGTAATATGTCACCGTAAAAACACTATTTGAAAGCCAGTGATATCTCTCAATAAACCGAGAGAAACAGTCAGTTAGTTCTCACTGGCTTTTTTTAAATACTGTTTCCACGTTGATGTATGACATTTCTCATTTCTCATGAAAATCTTAAGAGAAATGGGTACTCCCGTAATTTTAAAATATGTCCCTTGAAGTCACTCCCGTTTGTTTAATACAGTTTCAGACATTTCAAATGATTCGAATGATATTGATATAATCGAATTAATTCGAATGATGGTAATAATCGAATATTCGAATGATTTACCATTCGGATGATCTCATCACTACTTCAGACTATGATAACAAACACATCGACAATTGGTTAAAAACCCACTATCTAATGGCGACCAAATTATAAATGTTCTGAGTACGGTATGTGTACATAGTGTAAATAATTAATAAATGTAGTGGGGTGTTCTTCATGTAAAAATAAACAGTGTTAAATGCAGATGTGCTTGTTTCTTTCTATTATGGATCGTTAACCCAAAGCCGGCAGCTTGTAAAAACATGGAATACAGTCCGCTTCAGAATCATAGCATAATGAGCATAATGTAAAAGGTACGATCCTTACAGGCCTCATAAACAGGGACAAAATTTATGTTATTTGCATTATTCCAGTCTCTAGTTGCTCTTGCATAATGTCATGGAGCTAGATCTGACCAATTATTTATCATCATCCATAACAATCAATTTATCGACAAAATCAATTCATCTTAGGACACGATAATACCTGGGAACTCCTTTTCAATTAGGCCAAGCTATATTTGGTGCTATCCTTCTTTTTCGGAACACCATATACTTTCGGGAAATTGTTCTTAAAACTGTCATCTTTGAAACACCGAATTTTCGCTGTGAAATGCTAACTTTGTCTTTAGCAGCTTTAAACAGTCTTAGTTTCCTCGCGTGATTCAAAATTATTGATCTTCCACTTTACATAAATTAATTAACATGGCGGCTCGCAAAACGACCCGCTTTGAGCAATCTAGGCAACTAATATGTATCATTGAACCTGTAAATGACAACACGCCCACGGGGTTGCCATATCTAAACTGTCAGTTCTCACTT